TTGTGACCCCAGAGCCAAGGAGATAACTATACAACCTTCAGGAGACATCTGAAGGCAGCCCTATATGGTTTTTTATGTTTTTATGTGTTGGAAGCCACCCATAGTATAGTGGTACCTCCGGTTACGAACTTAATTTGTTCCGGAGATCCATTCTTATCCTGAAACTGTTCTTAACCTTAGGCGTGCTTTTGCTAATGGGGCTCCCTCTGGCGCGCTACTTCCGCTCACATTCCGGGGTAAAGTTCGCAACCAATACTTCCGGGTTAGCAGAGCTCATAACCTGAAGTGTTCGCAAGAAGGACGGCTTGTAACCAGAAGTATTACCGTATTGTTATTATTATCATTATTATGGAATAGGATATCCCTATTTTCATTGGAGAAATGTTGGAGGGTATGCTGTAGTTGACAGGTAACATATGCATGGGGTGGAGAAGAGAGAGAGAAAAAATTAAACTGTGGCATGAAATAGCAATGAAAAATGTAAAACCTGTGAAAATTTAATTGACTAATCGCAGCAGCAGGAACTGGCAATGACACTGTCATTCTAGCATTGCTAAGTTATTTAGCTCCCTGTACTGGTGAAGGGACGCGGGTGGCGCTGTGGGTAAAAGCCTTAGTGCCTAGGGCTTGCCGATCGAAAGGTCGGCGGTTCGAATCCCTGCGGCGGGGTGCGCTCCCATTGCTCGGTCCCAGCGCCTGCCAACCTAGCAGTTCGAAAGCACCCCCGGGTGCAAGTAGATAAATAGGGACCGCTTACTAGCGGGAAGGTAAACGGCATTTCCGTGTGCGGCTCTGGCTCGCCAGAGCAGCGATGTCACGCTGGCCACGTGACCCGGAAGTGTCTCCGGACAGCGCTGGCCCCCGGCCTCTTGAGTGAGATGGTCGCACAACCCTAGAGTCTGTCAAGACTGGCCCGTACGGGCAGGGGTACCTTTACCTTTACCTTTACTGGTGAAGCAGGCCAAAAGGGCTGTAAACTCCTGGGTCTAAGCCAATAAAACTCAGGAGCCGGGAGGAGATAAGTTCCAGCCATTTATAGTGGTACCTCGGGTTAAGTACTTAATTCGTTCCGGAGGTCTGTACTTAACCTGAAACTGTTCTTAACCTGAAGCACCACTTTAGCTAATGGGGCCTCCTGCTGCTGCCACGCCACCGGAGCACGATTTCTGTTGTCATCCTGAAGCAAAGTTCTTAACCTGAAGCACTATTTCTGGGCTGGTGGAGTCTGTAACCTGAAGCGTATGTAACCTGAAGCGTATGTAACCCGTGGTACCACTGTATTACTTTTGGTTCAGCTGTTTTGTTCTGCTTGTCAACAGATCCATACTCAAGTATCATGTCTCCAAGCTCCAGCCCGTTAGGTCCTTTGGCAGAGCTCTCATCTTCTACATAAGACACAAAAATACCATGCAGGTTTCCACCACAGATCTGGATTCTGAGTTCCACTTGGGACTTCTTAATGGTAACTGTTCTAGATTCAGGCGTCCTCTTAATGGTGTCTACAGAATTACTGATTGAACTGCGAGGACTGGTGGTTAGAGCGGTCTGTTTGGATGGAGGCGTCATGGTCCCTTCATCCTGTTCGCTCACAGTATCAATTACAGTGGTACCTCGCAAGACGAATGCCTCGCAAGACGGAAAACTCGCAAGACGAAAGGGTTTTTTGTTTTTTGAGCTGCTTCGCAAGACGATTTTCCCTATGGGCTTGCTTCGCAAGATGGAAACGTCTTGCAAGTTTGTTTCCTTTTTCTTAACACCGTTAATACAGTTGCGACTTGACTTCGAGGAGCAACTCATAGAACGCGGTGTGGTAGCCTTTTTTGAGGTTTTTAAAGACTTTGGTGATTTTTGAAGCTTTTCCAAAACTTTCCCGACACAGCGCTTCGCAAGACGAAAAAAATCGCAAGACGACAAAACTCGCGGAACGAATTAATTCCGTCTTGCGAGGCACCACTGTATGGAATTGGTGCAAGCCAAAAAGGCTGTAAGCTCCTGGGTCTAGCCAATAAAATTCAGGAGCCAGGAGGAGATAAAAGTCCAGTCATTTATTGCTTTCGGTTCAGCAGGTAATCCACGAAAATCTGACCAACCCTCCCAACCCCCGGTGGGTTATTTGTACTGTATTTTTCGCTCTATAACACACACCCGACCATAACACGCACATAGTTTTTAGAGGAGGAAAACAAGAAGAAAAAAATTCTAAACGAAACAGTGGATGTATGATTTTTGTGGTTCATGCAGTGGCTACAGACATGTGATCTGATGGTGAGTTTGGGGTAGCCCAATGCAAAAATCCTGAGGATCCATGTGGATCCATGCTTTGTAACCACATTTTTGCACCACTGCGGCCCCAGGCAACAGTGGGTGCGTGCTTTTTTTGGTGCAAGCTGTAGCCATGGACATGCTATGTGATCTGATGGTGAATTTGGGGTGACCCAGTGCAAAAATTCTGAGGATCCATGTGGATCCATGCTTTGTAACCACGTTTTAGGTGGGGAGGGAAGGAAAAGCACTCAAGGTACAAGGAGCACGCGTGGGGTGTGTGGAGAAGGATGCTGCTAATAATGCAGACGAGGGGTTTAAGGGGAGAAGGAACACGCGTGGGGTGTGTGGAGAGGGATGCTGTTAATAATGCAGGCGAGGGGTTTAAGGGGAGAAGGAACACGCGTGGGGTGTGTGGAGAGGGATACTGCTAATAATGCAGGCGAGGGGTTTAAGGGGAGAAGGAACACGTGTGGGGTGGGTGGAGAAGGAAGCTGCTAATAATGCAGGCGAGGGGTATAAGAGAAGGCTCCTCTCCTCTCCCGCTTTGCTCCTTCGAAGCAAGCAGGCTCTGCTTCTCTCCCACCTCCCCGGCTTAGCGCTTAGCGATCTGAAAAACCTCGCTGCTATTTAGTGAGCTGAGTGGGGAGGAGAGAGCGGCTCCTCTCCTCTCCCGCATTGCTACTTTGAAGCAAGCAGGCTCTGCTTCTCTCTCTCCTCCCTACTCAGCGGCTCTTCTCCCGCTTTGCTGTTTCAAAGCGAGCCACGGAGGAGGGAAGGGGAACCATGGATCCTCTGCTCACGACTGCAGCAGATCCCCCCACCATCCGTAGGCATTCGCTCCATAACACACACAGACATTTCCCCTTACTTTCTAGGAGGAAAAAAGTGAGTGTTATGGTGCAAAAAGTACGGTAAGTTTTTTCCACAAAGAATTTCAATTTCCTCCAATCATATGCATAGAAACATTTCCCCATTACCTTGTTCAAGAAAGCAACTAGCTGTTGCTGGCCGGAAGTGCACGAGGCATGCTTTTGCTGACATAGCTTTAATTCATGGTGCCTGCATGGTCTTCATATGAATACACTGTGTTACACAAAGCTATTGTGCTTTGTGAGCCTGTGTGTATTGCGATAAAAGTTTCAGCTTCTTTCTGCCCCATGGGCGTTTTGTAAACAAAAATTGCCCTTTTCCCTTATGGGGTATCCAAGAGCCCATATAGAGTCCTTATGTAGGTTCCCTATTGGTAGGAGAAAATAATAGAGGCCAACCAGAGAATATTGAGAAGCAAAGCAGCTAGTAAGCTTGATCTTTATTGATCTCTTGCAACAGGGTGCTCCCCTCACACACAGGAAAGGAGGAGGACCCAGAAAAATAGTGTGCAAGGCGTTATAAAGACTTTTGAAATTGCCACCCTGTAGATGAAGACCCCCTGGAAAAGACCCTGATGTTGGGAAAGATTGAGGGCACAAGGAGAAGGGGACGACAGAGGATGAGATGGTTGGACAGTGTTCTCGAAGCTACAAACATGAGTCTGACCAAACTGCGGGAGGCAGTGGAAGACAGAAGTGCCTGGCGTGCTCTGGTCCATGGGGTCATGAAGAGTCGGACACGACTAAACGACAAGATCAAGACCACCCCCAGAAACATCATACATACATCACAGAAAAGGCAGTCTAAACATAAATTTAAATGTTGTTTTTCTCTTGTCCTTGTTTATCTCCTGTCTGGCAGTTTACTTGACTGGATTTCCTGGGTAGCCTGGCCAGTCTTTTGTAATGATAAATACTTAGTTCCTGGGCCAGGTCACAGGCTCACACCCTATTCATATCTTAAATGTGCCCTTAAGACAGGATTTGTGAGGAAAGAGACAATGGGGAGGTTTCCCACTTTGACCTTGCAGAGAAAACATTTGGTCAGTTTAGGAATCAAAATGGTTCCAGGTTGGTCTTCCTGTGCTGATCTATGTACGTGCGGTTGGTACACTTATGAACACTTATGAACTGCTGATCTCTGCCTTACAGCTCAACTCTGCACATGCATAGGATTACCAGTGCCGGATTTTCCAAAATACTTCTTAACTGTATTTCACTATTAATATACTTCTTCTTAAATGTATTTCAGTCCAACAACTACTTTGATAAAATACATATTTTGTTATGTGCAAATGGCTTTACATACCTATTAGGTCCACAAATTACCATATAGCATATACTGTAATCAACACAAAAAACAGTGAGAATTTGTTGTTGACAAAGGACAGCTGGACATATAAGGGGCCCCATTACCTTCAGTAGCTCAGGGCCTCATCAAACCTAAATCCGGCCCTGGGTGCAAGGCCGCTTTAAAAGAACGTCGTGCGGACGTGACCCGCCAAGCACGCGCAAAAAAATAAAATACTGTAAAATCACACCCGGTTCCCAGAAGCGCGCGCGCCCTCTAACGGCCAACGGCTAGCCTCGCCTTTCCCTCCCCTACGTCACTGCACGCCCTTCTCTTTCTGCCGCGCGCATCGCGCCCGCGCTCTCCGTTAAACTTTTTACGACGCCAAGGGGCGGGTGAAAAGCCGGTCGCGCTTTGCGGCGGAGCGGTTAAGCTCCAATAAACGCTCTCTCGCGCCTCCCTCGCCCCGCCCCCTCCCTCGCGTGCGCCTCCGTCTCCTCTCTCCGCCCCCACCTGGCCGTTCGCGACACCGCCTCCGCCGCGCTTTACGGCCGCGGGGATGAGGGGCGGGGAAAATGTCTGAGCGGCGGAGAGGAGGCGGAGGCAGAGGAGAGGCGGCTTCGGAGGAGGCGGCGGCGGGGCCAGCAGCATCGTCCGCGGGGGTGGAGGCGGCGGCGGCGGCGGGAGCGGAGATGCCGGCGAAGAAGCAGAAGCTGAGCAGCGACGAGAACAGCAACCCGGGGGACCTGTCCGGCGACGAGAACGTGAGCGGGGGGCCCTGAGAGAGGAAGACACCCCTCTCTCAGGCTTGGGGCCTAGCGCGTCTCTTAGCAACGCGGGGGGGGCTGGTGGTCTTCTTCCCTCCCCCTCCTGAGAGGGGGAGCCTGAGGTCATGGCTGTCCTGTTTATAATTTCCATTATTAATTTACTTATTTATATGGCGCCTTTATCTTCCAAGGAGTTCAGGGTGGTGCACATGCTTCCCCACCTCCCCATTTTTTCTTCACAAAATAGGTTAGGCTAAGAGCGGGTGACTGGCTCCAAGGTCTCCCAGCGAGCTTCGTGGCTGAGTAGGGATTTGAACCCAGGTCCTAACCAGGCCCTCTTCACTATTCACCACACTGAGGCTCCCTTAGGGCAAGTGTGGGGGAGCCTCCAGGTATTGCTGAACTGCAACTCCCATCATTGAGTTGTAGACATAGCTGTCAACGTTTCCCTTTTTTTAAGGGAAATTCCCTTATTCCGAATAAGATTCCTTGCAAGAAAAGGGAAAAGTTGACAGCTATGGTTGCAGAGGTGGAAGGGACCCCAAGGGTCATCTAGTCCAACCCCCGGCGATGCAGGAGTCGTCAACTTAAAGCATCCATGATAGATGGCCACTCAGCCTCTGCTTACCTTTAAGGAAGGCGAGTCCACAATCTCCCGAGGGGGTTTCTGGGGCTGTTGGGAGTTGTGGTTCAAGGGCTGGAGAGTCCCATCCCTCCCACTGCAAGGCAGCCTCCCCCCTCCAACCTACTGCACCGAAGGTGGGTTTGCAACCTCTTCCTAGACCTTAATCCTCTTTGGGGTGCCTCATGGGAAGCAATTCGTAAATGAAATTGATGGTGATCTCCTGCTGGCCCTGGGAGCAGTGTTAAGGAAGGATGGGAGCTGTAGCCTACCAGCTTCTGGAGCCAGGTGGGAGAAAGCAGGTTTAAAGGTCAGAGGTGGAAGGTCTGTACAGCTGCAGTCATCCCTGACCGCTAGCCCATGCTGGCTGGGGCTGATGGGGGCTTTGGGAGCCCACAGCATCTGGCGGGTGTTCTCTTGATTATACACTGCTGCTGTTCATATACAGGTGGTTAGCCTGTGTGTGGGATGCTATTGCTCTAGGCTTTTAGGCTGCAGTGGTGGAGTGCTTGTTCATGAGAAGAAATCAAAGGAGGACCCCGTTGCATTTAGATAGCTAGGGTGCCAAGAATAATGTAGAACAGTTTCCTTCTGGAACCTAGGCTTCTATATTTGCCATCTTGCTACACTTGCTTTTATAAATACAGTGGTACCTCGGGTTACATACGCTTCAGGTTACAGACTCTGTTAACCCAGAAATGGTGCTTCAGGTTAAGAACTTTGCTTCAGGAAAAGAACAGAAATCGCGCAGCAGCAGCAGTAGGCCCCATTAGCTAAAGTGGTGCTTCAGGTTAAGGACAGTTTCAGGTTAAGAACAGACCTCCGGAACGAATTAAGTACTTAACCCGAGGTACCACTGTAGAACATTAGAATGAGTTAGGGAGAGAGTTGGGCTAAAATACTTTCCCCTGATTATATATTTAGGCTTCTGTTGTTACACATCTTCTCTGTATCCACTCCAGCTATCTGCACATAGAAAGCTAGCATGTCAGGGATAAAGCTAGTCTATAACTCTTCTCACTGACTTGCTAGCTTTCTCTGTGGAAGGAATTTTGTTTCTGAATGGAAGAGATGGGTAGGCAAAATAATTTTCAGTGCCCTCTTAAGTTTCTACCTATGTCATCTCTGTTTTAAAAGAAAGAAAGTAAAGCTGATGATTCTCTGCTTTTAGGAAACCAGCAAATTGGAAAGAACTCAGGTTAGATACTCCTTATTTGACATCTACTTAGGTTTTCACTGGTATCCCAGGATTCACCAACCAGAGCTTGGCACAAAAGCCATACACTTGGATTTAAAGAAGTTTAAGCACAGGAGTTTGCTTTGAGACCCTGAACTGAATGGAGCTCGCAGTCCTTCAAGACAAAAAACTATTTCTGCTTACTGCAAGCTTTTTTTATTTTAGTGGAATAATTTAGGAGCAGTTGGAGGAAATAATTGTTGCTGCTATTGTTTAAATCAGCTGGGAATCAGAAATCCTTGGCAATCTGTGGCAAATGACAAATAGATCTGCCCACTCATTCTCTAAACGTGTGAATCATCTTGCCTATTGTCGTTGAACACTTTTAGTTGCTCAGTATCCTATTTCTGAATAAGGTTGCCTCATTGTTCTGAAGTAGGTGGAGGATCTTCCTTCACTTAGTAAGTTAGCTTTTTTTGCTGTGAATGTGGGTCTTGATCTGTTTTGAAAACCAACCTTCTTTATGCTTTCAGGATGATGCTGTTAGCATAGAGAGTGGTACTAACACTGAACGCCCTGACACCCCTACAAACACCCCCAATGCTCCAGGAAGAAAAAGCTGGGGGAAAGGAAAATGGAAGTCAAAGAAATGCAAATACTCCTTCAAATGTGTAAACAGCCTCAAGGTATTTTGTCAGCAGACATCTCATTAGAATGAAAATTGCTTGCTGCCTTTATACAGTGGTACCTTGGGTTACAGACGCTTCAGGTTACAGACTCGCTAACCCAGAAATAGTACCTTTCTCATTCCTTGCTTCATGATGAGAACAGATTGTGTGGTGGAGGCGCGACAGCAGCGGGAGGCCCCATTAGCTAAAGTGGTACCTCAGGTTAAGAACTGTTTCAGGTTAAGAACGGACCTCTAGAACGAATTAAGTTCTTAACCTGAGGTACCACTGTAACAGTGTTTTGTACTTCAGTGATCCAAATAACTTATTTACTGGATCAGAACAAGGCATATTTGAACTGGCATTCTTTTTCAAACAGCAGTCGGGTGGTGGTTCTGGGCAGTCCACAAGGAAGATCTTGTGTTCAGGAGAATGCTGCCTCAGATCAGGCTTCTTGTACTTCACATGACAAATAGCTGTGGATAGATACGTTCTCCATGTAAGCTAGTGGCCCTGCCACCTAAGCACACCTAACCAAGTAGCAGGTCCTGCTCGTATGAAGGGAAAATCAGAAGCAGCTTTAGAGAAATTTTAAGTATGGGTAACTCGCAACACACACATTTAACTTGTGTGCATTCAGCTTTACATACTTGGCAAAAAAACTATAAAAATTAAAAAGTGGGTGGGCGTCCAGAGGAAAAGACTTTGGCAATCCTACTCACCATTGAACCCAATGTGTTTTGACTATATGTGATTTTGGCTTGATGCACTATGTCTGGAACTTAGCCCCCACCTAAGTTGAAAGTTTCCTATATATTATTTGTAATATAATTTCTCTTTCTGTGGCAGCAGGTAAGTTAGCTCATGGACACATCCTGCAGATAGTAATCACTATCATGTTGATGCTGTTTTTCAGCATTGCAGTCCTTTAAGCTTAAAGCTGTGTTTTCTCTTGGATCAGTCCAAAACTCCTATTCTAAATGTGCTTTGCATGCTTTTGTACGTGTTTCACCTTGTTGCCTTTAGCTGAAGTTTGTACCACAGGAAAGCAAGATACGTTTTAACAAATAACAGGAAACTGAAGGGTGTAGTCTCTCTTTTCGGGTGGCTAAGATCAGCCACTGAAGGTGAAGGCCAACTTTTTTTGAAATAGAAGTATAGGCCTGGAGACCTTTGAAAATATAATAACAAAACAGTTACAGCACATGTCTGTCTTAGGGAGAAGGCATTTAGCAGGAAAAAATTACCAAAAGTTTTATTTTCAAAAGTCTGTGGTGGTGTTTGTAGATTGCTATATTTGTTATAGCATATCCTACTATCTGCTCTGATCCTTTTAATTGGTGGTGTGGGAATTTATGCTTGAGCCCTTTACACATGTAAGATATGTTCTTCCATCAGGGCAGCCTTCCCCAACCTGGTTCCCCCCCCCCAATGTTTTTGACTTCCAACTACCATCTGTGCCAATCAGCATGGCCAGTGATCAGGGATGATGGGAGCTGTAGTCCAAATATTTGGAGGGGGCCAGGTTGCGGAAGGTTGCACTAAGCTGTTCCCTACAACTCCCAGTAAAACATTGTGAGAAGGGTAACATACTTGTTTTGACTAAGGCTGGATAATTTGTATGTTGTGTATGTTGCTGAGTTATTTAAAATCTGACATGATATTTGGAATCCTTGAAATGTCAGTATTTATAGATTTATTCTTTAATACTGTACTCCTGCCTGCTCCCAGTTCCTAGCGTTCTGAATCATAAATATGGAATAAGACTTCTAGTGAGATTGGAAATGCAATGCTTTTGTTTAGTTTCTTTTCCTACCGGTTGTTGAGCCCTATTTTTCCATTTCCATCCTAGTCCATGCTCATAACTTCAGTTGGAAAACTCAAAACTTGGAAGGAAAATGGTGCCATTTATTTATTATGACATTTATTATACACCCTTCACCAGCAAGTCCTACAGTGGGTTAATTAGCATGTATACCTAGGTTTCTTGGAGTAGGCTGGACACAATTCGATTCTGGCAGGCATTGCTTTCATGAATGGCTTACTAATAGTAGAGTTGTCCCATGGGCAACACTCCTTCCTCTCAATCTCTGAGGTTTGTTCAAAAAAATTCTGCTAATGCAGACAAGTCACCTTAGCCTAGTAGTGTTGGTGACATAGTGTTGCCACCAAAATAGTTTCCTTGTACGTGGGTGGTGCTGTAGGTTAAACCACAAAGCCTAGGACTTGCCGATCAGAAGGTCGGCGGTTCGAATCCCCGCGACGGGGTGGGCTCCCGTTGCTCGGCCCCTGCTCCTGCCAACCTAGCAGTTCGAAAGCACATCAAAGTGCAAGTAGATAAATAGGTACCACTCCGGCGGGAAGGTAAACAGTGTTTCCGTGCGCTGCTCTGGTTCACCAGAAGCGGCTCAGTCATGCTGGCCACATGACCCAGAAGCTGTACGCCGGCTCCCTTGGCCAATAAAGCGAGATGAGCGCCGCAACCCCAGAGTTGGTCACGACTGGACCTAATGGTCCCTTTACTTTACCTTTACCATTTGGAAAATACTTCCCTATGATATCGTGCAGTATGTTTCCGCTCCCTCATTCTACATCAGGGTCGGGGATCCCTGTGACCATGTAGGACATTGTAGATGTGTTTAGACTACATCGCCCATGATCCCTGATTATTGGCCACCCTTGCTGGGGCTGATGGGAGTGATAACATTGCAACCTGGGTAAGTGTTCCAAAATGGTACTGATGACAGGGAGAGAGGTCATCATTGGAATGTTGTTTTTTCAGTAGCATCCCCATAGTGCACATAATGTGTACTTCTGCCCTGAAAAGAAATGTCCTAAATATATGAAATGCATTTGACTTCTTCAAGTTTTCTTTCGAAGCCAATTCTTCTTATACCTTTTTCGTTTTCAGGAAGACCATAGTTTGCCATTGTTTGGGGTACAGTTTAACTGGCACAGCAAGGAAGGCGATCCCCTGGTGTTTGCTACCGTTGGCAGTAACAGAGTGAGTGACATGTTGAAACTGATTTTACATTTCACTTATTTACCGCTTTCCAAGATCTTGCTTCCTTTTCCTAATGTTGAAATATATCTTGTGGGTTTTTTCCAAACTCTAGGCATTATTTCTGATCCCAAGAGCCAAATTAAACAGTTTTGTGATGTGGTACGATAGTAATAGTGCAAAGGTAGTTGCAGATGGCCACAGTCCTACATAAGCATATACATGGGTTTGCTAGGAACACTTCCAGTTGGAGGTGTGTTGAGAATGCTCATACTCAGTTGAGTATAAAAGTTGGGTTTGAAAGGAAAAATCACTTGTTTGTCCATTGGGTGTGCAGCTGAAGTATGATGTCAAAATCCTGCTTTTAAAAATGCCCCCCCCCCACGCGCCTACCTGGCAGCATATTTAAACACCTCAAAAGAGACATTTGCAATCTGCTCAAGTAGTGCAATGTCAATAAGCAGTAGGTGAAAAAAACTCCATAAGCCTTGAAACTGTTAGCTTCCTGCAGCTGCTGCTATAATCAAGCACTCCTCTCAAAGGTAGTTGTTTTCATGATTGGTAATAATTGCTCATTTTACTAAATAACTTCCAGCGCGCATATATATATATATATATATATATATATATATATAAAATTCTGTAACTAGACTTCATATATTGGAGGTAGCATAGGAACCTGTGGCCCATTCACTGTGGACATAAGAGAAGGTCTTGTGGTTTGAACAGGCCTGAGGACAACTTAAGGAAATTGCTGACCTGGTGATATATTAGGAATGCACACAGATGAAGTCATTATGTCCCCCTCAATCAGTGGTAGTGCCCTTTGGGACTGGTAGAGTGGAAGGTAGGGAAGCCCAACAGTAGGTAGAACCCAAGTCAGTGACAGGTGCAGCCAATGTGAAGCCAGGCCAACTAATTCTACTTTTGTCTCCATCTGCCTCTTCTGCTGAGTTCTGCAAGGGCAATACTGAAACTGAGGAGGGGGAAGCTCACAGGTAGGGCCGCCCCTTTGACAGGCTGCAAGTAGGGAGGAAAGGCAGGCAGGTGAGGGCTGGCTGCAGGCAGAATGAGGCTGGTGGGGCAGCAGTGCTCCATTTGCCCTAATGGCCCAGCCTCCATCGTTCTCAGTAGAAGAGGATGGAAACTTGAATATTGTATTACTAATTCTATACACTGTGTGGAGTTGTTCAGCTGTGGGAATCAGGAACTCTCTAATTTCTTGTGCTTTATCCACCTCCAGGTTACTTTATATGAATGTCATTCACAAGGCGAAATACGGTTGCTACAGTCCTATGTGGATGCCGATGTATCCTTTACTACGTCTGTGTTTCTAGGGCTGGTTTGCGAATGGTTTCATAGCTTTCCCTGCTTAATGAGAACGCTGTTAAAGAAACACTTTGCAAGATAATATGGTGAATGTAAATGATGTCCTTCCACGTCAATTTTGGAGTTCATTGCAGAATGGTCCCTTCCAGGCCAGTGGTTTCTCAGTTTTCCCACTGATGGGTTGTTTCAAACCATTCTCTGCACTTTCACATAAGCCCAGTAGGGAGCAGCACTTGGCTTTCTGCTTTGTGAACTGTAGACTGCTTCGTTTATGTTTAAATATTTTTGGTTAAATATCTGGTGGGCAGTGGGACATTCCACAGGTGCATGTCTAGCCCTTAACTGCAGACTTCAGGCGGATGAAAACTTTTATACTTGTGCATGGACCTATGATAGCAATACAAGCCACCCCCTTCTGGCTGTGGCTGGGTCAAGGGGCATTATTAGGATAATTAATCCCATTACAATGCAGTGCATAAAGGTGAGTTGGTCCAAGATGTAAATATTAATGCTCAAAATCGATTCTAACATTCTGATGCAAAAAATACAGAAATGTGGAGGGAATAACCTGACCTCTGAATTCTGTTGTAGCATTATGTGGGCCATGGCAACGCAATCAACGAATTGAAATTTCATCCCAGGGATCCAAATCTTCTCTTGTCTGTGAGCAAAGGTATGGAAGTAGGTTCCTTTTGAATTTGTAGGAACGATCTGGTAGTGGGTTAGTTCTGTAAGAGCTAAAAGGGGGAAAGGGCGACACCAAAAATGCACACAACATCCCAAATAGGAACCTCAAATTGGTGTGGGAAGGAGAATGCATTTTGAAATGTAAACTACCCAACAGATTTTCACAAATTAGCTTTCAGTACATATAACAGCATCTTCATATTTTGCCCCCCAATTAATTTAGATTATATATCCATTATATCCAAGGGTGGTTTAGAACAGTTTAAAAATACAATATCAAAATCACTTAAAAGAGTCTAGAGCATAGGGTGTATCCTTAAAAAAAAATGTATCCCAGGTGTCAAAGGTAAAGAGGTGTGTCTTCAGCTAAATACACCTTTGTGTGGAGGGAATTGCACAATGGCTATTACTCCCTTCCTAGGTTTCCGCTGTTTGGACATGGCACTAAACTATGGCTCAGCTACCTTATGGGAACAAGCCTTGAGAGGAGGTTGCTGCCGATTTGCTCCTCCCTGGTTGTTTTGCTGTATACTGCACTGAGCCATGGTTTGGCTTTGCATGTTGTCCGAATATGGGCTCATGGTTTAGCTCTTCAAACCATAGTTAATGGTTTGTCTGAAGAAATCAGCAAGTCCAGGTTCAGACGGCATTAAGCCAAAGCATGGCTAACTCAGCACAGCAGCAAAATGATGGAGAAGGGGGGTGGGGAGGCCATGACCCCCAAGCCATGGTTTGCCTTAGCAATACATGTGAAGCAAGTCAATAAGTTTTGTATGCAGTTTTGGGGTTGAACAACCTAGTTGATCAGAACATACTATTGCGTTTATTATGAGATGATGGAATCTAACCTTTCTGTTTCCCCTCCTCTTTTTACTAGATCATGCATTGAGACTGTGGAACATTCAAACAGACACTTTGGTTGCAATATTTGGAGGAGTAGAAGGGCACAGGGATGAAGTTTTAAGTGCAGTAAGTGAAAAACTGTTGTGCAGCTTGAAATTAATCAGTGCTGTCCTCCCCAAAGTTTATTTCCCTTCTTTGCTAAACAAATTTTAAATTGTGGTTTGCATTTTAATTATAGGTCAAGAAATGGAAATTTGCTTAGTAGGATAGCTAATAACCTGATTTGTATAATCTGGAGGCTTCATTGTTGATTTTATTTTAATCTTGTGTGCAAAATTGAAGTTGCTACATTCTGTGTATAGGATTATGACCTCCTTGGTGAGAAAATTATGTCTTGTGGCATGGATCACTCCCTGAAACTCTGGCGAATCAATTCAAAGAGAATGATCAATGCAATCAAAGAGTCCTATGAATACAATCCCAATAAAACCAACAGGTAAGGGCATCCCCAATCCTAGTGTGATGTTTTCCTCACCCCAGTATATTCTTCAGCTCATCACTGAAATCCTATATCAATACCTTTTGAAACTTGCAAGTGGTTAGATCTAGAAATGAGGCTGTAAATTGCTTGAAGTTTCCCCCCTCCCATAACAGGTATTGTCCAGTTGTCATGTCAGTGGTAAATCATAGGTAATGATTTACAGTGAACATGCCAGTTTTATTTATTACTTATTTGTTTCGTAGTTTTGCCCTACCAGTATGCAAGCCATGACTTCTGGTGTAGCATTTTGTCTGAATTAGGAGTTACAGTTTGTTTCTCTCCAAACAAACCGTGATCAGTAAGCCAAGGACAAACCTTAGCTACAGATTGTGGTTTGGTTGGACTGAAATCTTGATCCCTGATTTGGACATAGCGACAATACCCAGCGGTTGTGGCTTTAAAAATAGGTGACATTGATGTGTTCATGGTAATGAACTGTGATATGTGAATTAGGCCACTGGTGCAAACCTATACAGTGGTACCTTGGTTGCTGAATGGCTTAGTTGTCGAACAAATGGGTTCCCAAATGCAGCAAACCCGGAAATAACTGTTCTGGTTTGTGAATATTTTTCGGAAGCCGAACGTCTAACGCAGCTTCCACTTGAGTGTAGGAAGCTCCTGCAGCCAATAGGAAGCAGCACCTTGGTTTTTGAACGGTTTTGGGAGTCAAATGGACTCCTGGAATGGATTTAAGTTCAAGAACCTATATGTGACTATCCAGAATCAAGTTCCATAGTGTTCCGTGGGACTTTATTTCCAGTTAAGTGGATATAGGACTGCAGCTTAAATGTCAGTTTTCCACTTTCCCCCTTTTTGCAGGACAAGCTCTGCAGTGTTTAAAATAATGTATTTTATTGTTTGTTAACATTCATTGTAAGTTTGAAGGCTTTACTAAGCTATATTAGCATAAGTATCCTTGAAAGATTTGGTGGAAACCCTTAAACCATAGTTTTTCAGTTCTGGTAGCATGGGAAATGGTGATTTAATGAATGAATATAGGCTTTGCTGAAGTTGAGTGGTGGGGGGTTAAGTGAGAGTTGAAGAGAGGACATGTAAGAACATGGCTTCTTACATCTGAATTTTGCCAGTGACCCATATTTTTTTATTTTGGCGGGACGGAAATATAAATTATTCCACCTCTATTGTCATTGTATTCCAAGCTCCTGCAGTTGTGTCTTTCCTCTGCCCAACCGCACTGATCAGATGCATCAACTCTCTCCTTTGCAGGCCGTTTGTTTCTCAAAAAATTCACTTTCCTGACTTCTCCACCAGAGACATACATAGAAATTATGTAGATTGTGTGCGATGGCTAGGAGATCTGATACTTTCCAAGGTAGGATGGCTTCAGTTTCAATGATGTCACATTTATGTTTTGATCTCTGAAGATTTAATTGATGAGAATAGGAAATTTTCACAATTTACTGAAATGGTATCATCTTCCTACTATTTTTTTAAAATCCCAATAGCATGCCTCCTCTCCCCACAATAAAAATACTGTTGATGGCCTAAAGCAGTCTATCTCCTCCACATTTTCGTTTGCAGGATCTGAATGTGGAAATGTTTTGTGGGTTATACTGAAGCCTTCTTTTCCTTCTGTCCACAGTCGTGTGAAAATGCCATTGTGTGCTGGAAACCAGGCAAAATGGAAGATGACATAGATAAAATAAAGGCCAGCGAGTCTAATGTGACCATTTTAGGACGATTTGATTACAGTCAGTGCGATATATGGTATATGAGGTTTTCAATGGATTTCTGGCAAAAGGTAAGGGCCAAGGCAGAGATTAAGCAAGGGTATTTAAGATTAGTCCAGTGCACAGGTGAAGTTCAGCTGACACTGTTGCTTCTCATGTGTGCTTGAGGCTCCCATATTTTGTAGTATATGTAGGCGGATATGCCATATATCATAAAATATGGCTGTTGTGCGTAAACCATAATGGGTAGTATACTCGTCTATGGGGCCGGTCCATCCGTGAGAGTCGCATAGGCAGTGGAAACCAAGGGGCACTTCCTGGGTTCTGGCGAGATCTCGCGAGAGTTCTTGCAATAACCTGGAAGCCACAGCTGTGTGACCCTGGTAAGCGAGGCTTCAGCAGGTCAGCAAGTGTGGGTGGCAAAACAGGATGGGCTACCCTTCCTCTTCTTTATGCATGGCCCATGTTGCACATGCACAGTGTGGATATTAAGGGATGCAAAAGTAAAAAATTAATGCCATATTGCTAAAAATAACAGGAGATTATCTTAGACAGCTAGGTTTGTTGGACAATAAGGGAGTTAAAGGTGTCCTGGAGGAGGATATTGTATTCATTCAGATATTTTTAGGGCAAAGCCCTCACAAGGTGGCTTACATAATATAGAAATACAGCAGAGGTGAGGGGAACGGTCAGATCAAGGAAGTTACTGACCTCTTTGCAGCCATCCTAGGGAAGCAGAGAGCTCATGAGCATGAGACTTGCTTATGCAACTCTAAACCAGCCTTCCCCTACCGTAGCCCCCCAGGTATCTTCGGACTACAGCCTTGCTAATCTCCAAAGAACATAGACAATGATTGGGGATGATGCTGTCTGACAGCATCTGAGGATGCAAGGCTGGGGAAAGCTTAACTAAACCCTAGTCTATCATTCTTTTGGAACAAAGCCTATTGCCTCCAGAAGTGTAGTAAGGAAGGATACCCTATTTTGATTTTGGCTTCTGTAATTGTCAAAATGTGATGTAAAGGTAAAGGTACCCCTGCCCGTACGGGCCAGTCGTGACCGACTCTGGGGTTGCGCGTCCATCTCGCTTAAGAGGCTGGGGGCCAGCGCTGTCCGGAGACACTTCCGGGTCACGTGGCCAGCGTGGCGTAGCTGCTCTGGCGAGCCAGCACCAGCGCAGCACACGGAAACGCCGTTTACCTTCCCACTATAAAGCGGTACCTATTTATCTACTTGCACTTAAGAGTGCTTTCGAAGTGCTAGGTGGGCAGGAGCTGGGACCGAACGACGGGAGCTCACCCCGCTGCGGGGATTCGAACCGCCGACCATACGATCGGCAAGTCCTAGACGCTGAGGTTTTACCCACAGCGCCACCCGTGTCCCTTCAAAATGTGATGTAGTATCTATTAATTAGTTGCTGAGGGCACCCTTAGTCAATCCACTGTCCACCATATGTTTTGGACAACAGCTTTCAACTGTCTTGACCAGCACAGCTGGAGTGCACCAGGTGGGCAAAGGGATTAGAAATCCCCAAGGTACTGATGGTGCATTATCCTTGAGTTGTCTAGGGAAACTTTTATTCTTGAACCTGTTGAGAAAACAAAAGTAAATTATGTTTGCATGTAGAGTTCAATATTCAAACAGTCATTTTCACCACAGCATTTGGCTACATAAATCTTCTGCTTTTTTTTTAGATGCTGGCATTGGGCAATCAAGTTGGCAAGCTCTATGTCTGGGACTTAGAAATAGAAGATCCTCATAAGGCCAAGTGAGTGTTTCTGAATCCCCAGCTTTGCACCACAATTCTTGCTTATCAGCACTGAAACAGACAAGTCAACCCCTTTACCATAACTTAGGAAGTTGTAATAAAGAAGTACAGGCCATAAGCATGTTCGTCTTCTCAAAGTTTGGATTACAGCTTGCTGCCTTTGTTCTGGGAAGGTAACAGTGTAAGAGACCTGGGCCAGGGTGGGGAATCCTGAACAACTTTGTGTATGGTTTCGTATGAACAAAGAGAACATGCACTAATTTCTGACAGATGGGGGGGAAATGGTAACTCCCCTTGCCATAGATCTGTGATTAAGCTTTTTCAGTGTTTGAGTTATTTATGGTGGGGTTGGTGTCTGGGAGAGAAAATCCTGTTTCAGGGTCATACCACTTAATAGGGCACGTGAGGCATCACAAGATGAGATGTGCTTTCATTAAAAAAACTCCCTGAATGTGGAAACAAGAATATTAAGAAGCCTCACATGCTTCTTGTCCATGGATCAGTTTAAAGTGATACAGCCCAGAAAGCTTCCATAAATTAGCATATTTTGGGGTGGGAGAAATGGGATAACGTGATCAGGATGTTGTTTAAAGGGAGGAGGGATAAAGTTAAGAACTGTGCCTGTTGTCTTATATCCTTTTGTTCACATGGTGTTGAATGAAGAGAAATATAACGCTTTATCTCTTTTGATAGGTGTACAACTCTTACTCACCCAAAGTGTGCTGCTGCCATTCGACAAACCAGCTTTAGCAGAGACAGTAGTATCCTTATAGCTGTATGTGACGATGCCAGTATCTGGCGCTGGGACAGGCTCCGATAAGTTACTTACAACTTGAGAATTACAAAATTATGTATTGCTTTTTGTGTCAAGGATAATTAGCTGATTTGGTAGTACTGTAACTGCTTTCAGAGTAGCCCCCCCCCAATCAGTTGAACTTAGCAATGTTTACATTTAGTTTTTGATAACATTGCCTTGTTCAGAAGCTGCTGCTTTTTAATAAAAATATTTTTGTACGTTTGGTTTATTGTCCCATTTCAATTCAGTGTTTGTAGTATGTAAAGTTTCTTTGTACTGTATATATACTTGCTGCTTGTGTTAAGCCATATGTTAAATAAGCTTGTATGAGTATGGGTGTGCCCTACAATTCTGCAGGATGCAAGAAGCACACTGAGTGCAGAATTCTTCCTGAGAAAGTTGTCCTTGATTTTGAAAATGACCGTGAAAACATGAAAGTTGTGCAGCATTGCCCACTTGGAACTCTCAGAAGCCAAGAAGGGTGACCGATATAATTTCTCAGTGGCTGGGACAGATACATTTATCCATATGGCCCTCTGCCCTACTCCTTCATGAACAAAAACAAGTAAATTATGCAAACAAAATTAAATGTGCATAATTAAACATGTTGGGGAATTTAGCTTTCTTGCTCAGAATTTGAATTTCCTGGGTATGGACTTTTTTAAAATACACACCCACACACCCACACCCACACCCCTTAATGTTTTGGTCCAGCAAAAGTTTTACTCCCATAATTCCCAGAGACTATACTACTTTACATTAATTCTCTGTCTCATACCCATCTGATTACAGTAAGCCTGCAATTTGCAAACATTTAATTTGTGCATATTCAGCTTTAAGCGCTTGGGAAAAAATAAAAAGGGATGGGCACCCAGGGGAAAATACAAATTCCACCTGTCATTGCATTCAGTGTGTTTTGTCTATATGTGATTTTGGCTTTAGGTGCAATGCCTATGGTGCAAATGCTTTTTTTCAGGCGGGGCGGGGCACATACTCCTAAACATTTTGTGAATCTAAGTTTGGCCTCATTGAGGGGCAGTATTTCAATATGAGTAGGAAAATGAGAGTACAGAAAAAAAGCACTGGATACGGGCATACTGTATTTAGAATGAGAATTGCAGAGTAAGTGAAATAAGAGAAAGTAGTTAATTAACTTGTTGGTAAAAGGAGCCACTGTCTTGGTGTAGAATACCCTGGAACTTATTTAGGATATTTCCATTGCTTCTGAACCCACTTGGCTCCACATCGTGGCTTTAAGAAAATAAATGTTTTTAATACTAAATATTGTTAACAAAAGCAACACAAGGCACAGGCAGACAAACTAAAAACGAAGTTCAGTAGATCCCAAACACCTGCCGAAATAAAATGCTTCATTTAGTGCTTGAAAACTCGTGATGAAGAGGCAAGATGAGCCTCCACCACCCTGGTGCTACCACTAAAAAGGCCTTTATTCTCCAGCTGCCTCATCTTTGACAGAAGGGGAGCAAATGAATTTCAGAGACTTTAAAAGTGTCTTTAACCTTATAAAAACAAGATGTGAATAAAGTGTGTGTGAAATATGTGTAATATATGGAAGCTGTTGGGACAAGATGTAAAAGTATTAAATTTGGTAAAATGAAATAAAAACAAAAATATGTGTTAACTTACTCTCTCCCACCTCCCCCAAATCTTCAGATCACTTGCTCACAACAAAAAAATAAGCTGTCACAGAATGGTATACCTAGAACTTCCAAAACAAACATTTGTATTTCTACAAAGGTCTGTTTACTTGAGGAGGTATTCTTGCCTGTACTCTTACTTTTTCTCAGGTGCAGGCCAGGATCTGCATGGTCTGTGTGGAGAAGCATTGAATTGCTTCCTCCAGTAGAACCTTTCCTCCTTGCCATCTAGTTTTCTATCTGCGGGGATATTTGTGCGTGTGTAAAAATACTTGTCACTTGAGCCCTCCCTGCCCAGATTTTGTAGTGATGCAGCCTACAGTGGTTTTTAAAAAATGTATTTTATTTATTACATTTATATTCCACCAAGAAGCTCAATGTCTGTGTCCATGGCAGGGCTCACACCAACTCTGTGAGCTGCTTCAGCAACATTAATGAGTATCTGAAGTGTGGGTGCACACGAAAGCTCATACCAATCACTATTGGAAGGAATTATTTTATTTATTTTATTTTGTTTCGATTAAAGGTTGAGGACATTGACATTCTGTTCCTAGCCCTGCGGAAGTATTGAATGCCAAAGCAGCCTGGGAAAATTCTGTATAGTTTTAGGGATTAATTTTGTATGTATTTCAGTCTTCCTCCAAACAGATGCAGTTGGTACTTTGTGCTGTGCTTGAAAAATTATTCTGCTGAACCTTAAAACCTGCATGCATACAGCAGCAGAAATTGGCTGCGTAGCTTTTCCATTAGGCATGGGGGGGAAATAGCCAGTGGCACCTCTGTCCTGAAAAGCCCATGTCAATAATAATAATAATAATAGTAAAAAGTTATTTAAACCCCCCCGCCCAATCTGGCTGGGTTTCCCCAGCCACTCTGGGCGGCTTCTAGCCAAATATTAAAAATACATTAAAAGTTTTGGCACCGGGAAGTTGTTGAAGCGGGAAGATAATTCGATTTTAGGCAGGAAGTTCCTGTTAAGAATCAAGGCCCGTCCTTTCCCTGAGCTGCCTCATTCCTTGCAAGACTACATTTCCCAGCGTCCTCCGCTTCTCCGAACGTACGCGACGTCGCGCGCGGCGCGCTGGGACACGTAGTCCGCCGGGATGCCTGAAATCCCACACACGCGCAAGTGTGCGATCCCTATGCGAATCATTTCCTTCCGTTTGCCCCGGATGAGCTTCGGCGGGCGGGGTGGCACGGAGGGGCCACCGGGGTGGTCGCCTGGGCCGGTCGTGGCTGTCGAGGAAGCGGCCTTGCCGAGCGGAGCCGCCTCCGCCATGTTTGGCTGCTTGGTCGCGGGGAGGCTGGTGAGTGGCGCCCGCGGCCGGCAGCGCCCTTGCTGCCGGGTCTCTATGGAAACGAGGGGGGAAAGGGGGTTGCTATGGGAACGGGAGGGCACTTGGAGTTTCTATGGTGAGGGATGCGGGCGGCTGGTTCCCTTGGTAACTCGTAAGGCCCAGGGGGGATGCGCCAGGCGTTTCTCATGGAAGTGGATGAGGAAATATCTAGGCGATATATGTATTTCTATGTACTGCTTTAAGGTTTCTTTTCCATATATGTTATGATATATGAGAAGAAGGAAGTCCCAGCGAAGGAAGAATGGATACAAAAGCTCATGGAATAGGCAGAAATGGCAAAACTTACCAGAAGAATAAGAAATTAAGATCACAAACTTTTTATAAAAGAATGGAAATGGTTTATGGAATATTTACAGATAAATTGTAAACAGATAAAAACATTGGCAGGATTATCGTAAAAACCTGCAGTTTTATAAGAGTATATATTTAAAGGAGATGAATAAATGTGCAAATTAAGTTACTTTGGAATATGCAGAAGATATTAAAAATAAATTTAAGGAACCGCAGAAAGAGGGGGAGGGAAGTCAATTTTTGAAATGTCAAAAGGATTGTAAAATCAGTGAAATGTATAAACTTGAAAAGTATAAATAAAAATTAAAAAAATACAATCAAGCAGTAAATTACTTTTTAAAATTAAATTTGTACACCGCCCTTCATCCACAGTTCTTAGGGCGTTTCACACACAAAATACAATATAAAAACCACAAAATGCATAGTAAAAGTAAGAACAACAGCAAAGCAATAATCCCCTTTCCCACAACACATATAAATTTTATGGAGTATTTGTGTGTTTGTATACCTCTTGAGTTTCCCCCCTCTACATTCAAGCAGAATATATAGTGGTATAAACGATATACTGCTTCATTGTAGGGGGAAAACCTTAACAGTGGTCAACAAATGAGAAAAAGAAAGCACTTTTTTTTAAAAAAAGTAAGACTGTGATTTCAAAATTTGCAGGTTAAAACTGCAATTGACTAAAACATATTAAAACTAGTTGTACAAAACTAGGCCTGCCGTGTTTAATGGATTGCATTAACTGAGTAAAAATATTTTGGTCAATGAAAAATGTGCTTCCAATTAACCGGGCAGCATATTTTTCCCCCATTTAAAATTGTATTTTTAATAAATAAATAAAAAGCAATGGCAACTCTCAATGGAACATAGGCAGCAAAAATACAAGCAATAAAACAATTGAAACATCTTAAAAACAATTCCAGTACAGATGCAGGTTGGAAAAGATCTGTGCTTTAAAAGCTTGCTGAATAAGAAAGCTCTTCAATAGGTGACAAAACAGCCAACAGGGACAGCGCCTTGCCTAATGTTTAACAGGGAATTCCAAAGGGTAGGTGGCATAACCGGAAAGGTGAAATTCCTAACTTGTGCATAATGGACCTCCTGCTATGATGGTATGTGCAGGAGGTCCTAACCTGCAAGAACAGATAGGAGAAGGGTTGTTTGGCATATTGCTTCGTTTTTTTCTGCACAGTCTCCATTTCAATGCATTCTTTTTTCCTGGAGGGAGTTTGAATTCCGCTACAGGCTCAAATCCCTACTTCATTCCCTGCTCTTCTTTTGTAGGTGCAAACAGTTGCACAGCAGGTGGCAGAAGACAAGTTTGTGTTTGACTTGCCCGACTATGACAGCATCAACCACGTGGTGGTCTTCATGCTGGGGACCGTTCCCTTCCCAGAGGGAATGGGTGGTTCTGTCTACTTCTGCTACCCCGACGAAAATGGGATAGCAGTGTGGCAGCTCCTGGGCTTTGTCACAAATGAAAAACCAAGTGCCATCTTCAAAATTTCCAGTCTGAAATCTGGTAAGAACATTAAGTGTAACCATTAAAGCCTGGGAAGGGGTTTGCTGTAGAGATAGGTGACTGGTAGCCAGAATTCAACAATTCAACCTTCACTTGTGGTCCACAGCATAGCTGTTAGTCCCACCTCTTTTCTCTGAGGCACAGGCAAAGGGCTCTTGAACCCCCTTCTTCTCTGCCCAGATGTTGTGATTAGCAAAATGGACTCTATGTTCCTTGTTTGTGCCTTGGCTCATACATGGGAGCCATTGGCTGAGGCCCTCAAGGGGAGAACTGACAGGAGGGGAAGAGAGAGAGAGATAAAAATCCCTTTGTTTGTATCTCAGATTCTGTGGAAGTGAGTAGAGTCAGTATTGTTGACCTTTCAGCCTTTGCTCATGACTGGTTTTTATTTCTAGGTAAGCGTTTGCCTGTAGGGTATGGGGAGTTCCTTAGCCCAAGCTGCCTCACCCTACTCAAAAGTTATTCTGTGTGACTCTGCCAGAGCTGGCGCTAAAATCATGTATTCTGGGTCTGAAAGATGCAGGAAGAGAGAACCCAGAATCACTCACTCTGCTTCAAGCTGTCCTCCTAGTTGTCTTCTTTGGGGTAACTGGTGTGTGCCCTCTGTTCCCAGAGAGGGGTCCTTTCTTGAAGCAACCTTTTTATGCAGCTAAGATACTCAAAAGTAGAACTACAGTGTTGACATCAGTGGCTAACTTAATTCATTTCACTTCTTGTACTCTGAGAAATGAATTGACTTAAGTTAGCCGTTGATGTCAGTACCGAGACTATGATTTTGAAGCATTAAAACGCCACTGCTTTTCTGTTGTCGGGATGTGTTCTCTGTTTGTTGTTG